AGATCCGGAGGGAAATCTAAACAGCCCCCCTGGGCCGAGCCGCAACCTGTGGGGTGCGTGGATATGGTGCGCAGATGTAGATGGGCATGGGTTGTGCAGGCGGCCCTGGGGGCGCCGGCGCGTGTGCTAGCACCGACACATCGAGCATTCCGCGCCGTTGGACATGTAGAGAACACCGGCTCCGGGCAGCCGGGCGCCCGATACTTGGTCGGGCGGGCGAGCGAAGGGCGCCAATCGCTGCTGCGGGACCTTCGCGAGGGGCATGCCCCGGCGCATGCGGGTGGGGCTTTGGTTTCCTCGGCCACCAACCTGCGCGCGGTGGAGCCTGCGCCACGAGAGCGATCGCCATGGGATCCGCTCCTGGTTGATAGGCACCTAGGGTGACGTTCCCCCGGTGGCGGGGCCGCGCCGGCCGTGGCAGGATCACCGGCAGCGGTGGCGGCGGCGGCGGCGGCGGCGGCGGTGGCGGCGGCGGCGGCGGTCTCGGCGCGGGGGGCGGGGGGGGGCAACAATGGCCTGATCTGCGTGGCTGGCAGGGCAGCGGGATGGCTGGGTGTGGGCAGGCTCGCCCTCCCGTGGGGCGGCAGCAGGGGATGGGCCAGCTCTTGGGAACGGGCGGCCCCGTCCTTCCCCCGGCCCCGGCCCTTCCTTTGCCCCTGCGCCCGGTGGGGTGGGGGCCTGCCGAGGTGGTTAGAGAGATGGCTATTCCTCGCGGACGTCGCAAGGACCTTGGGTTTATCTTTCCCGCGGCCGGCGTCCCCGCTGTGTCGCGGTCTCGGAGTCCCTTGCTCTCGCCCTGGCGCCCTCTTTCCTCAACCCGGCGAAGTTGGGTGTCCGGCGGTAGGTGGCCGCTTTTTCTCGTGTTTTCCGAGTGGAGGGGACCCCGGAGTGCAGCCTCCGCCGGCGCCTGGGCGCGGGGGGGGGGGGGGGGGGGGGGGGGCGTGCTGTGTATGTGCTGTGTGCGGCTTGTGGTCCGCGGTCCGGGTCGCCGGAAAAATGAAGGAACCCACTGCGTGGGAGGCCGGGCCCCCGGCCGGCGGCCACCCCCCACCGACCATGGCGACCGAGCGAAAGGTTGCTCCTCTCGCCTTGTCTGCCCCGGCGCCCTGCTTCGGCGCGTCGGAGGGGTGGGCTGCCCGGGTCCGGGGGCGAGAGGGGGACATATGGCTACGAGCGGTGGTGGTGGAGGGCAGGTGTCTTTCCTCCCCGGGGGCGTCTTGTGGCCGGCCGGGCCGAATCGGCGCCGGCCGACTGGCTCGGGAGGCAGCGCGCGACGCGTGCGCGAGTGCCAACACCAGCGGCCGGGTCATGAGGAGGGCCCGGTACGAGCCGTGCCGCCCTGCGGGGCGGGGGCGACCAAGGTGGCGGTCTAGTTGGCGGATGGTGTTTGACCCGAAGGGAGTCCGCGGGACGAGGCGGTGAAAATGCCGCAGCGAGGCTGGCTGTCCCCCCCCCCCCCCCAGTCACGCAGGGACCTGCGGCGCGCCGGGTCAGGAAACCCCGGGCCAATAAAAAGGGGGATTAAAATTGACTGGTGGGACATACTGGCGGCAGGCCCGTTTTTCTCCTCCCCCTTCCCCCCTTCCCTCGGCCCCTGGGCATTCTCTCCCGTCAGGAACATGGGTGGCTGGGAGTGTTTTTTTTGTGCCCGCTCATCCTGGCCGAGGGCGGTCTCCGGCGGCTCCAGAGACAGGGCGGCCAGGGAAACCGGGGGGGGGGAGAACGTCTGCCGTCCGGGGTCCGGCAGGTGGAGCCAGGCTGCCTTTTCGCCTCTTGCACCGGCACTAAGCACTGGTTCGGCTGGCGCGGGTGTGTCGTTGCTCGGCCGCACGCCCCCCCTCCGCCCGTCCCTCAGCCCGCGGCCGGGAAAACGTCCGGCGGGAACAGGGGGCAGGCCTGGCAGGCAGGCGGGAGAGCGACAGAGAGAAAGAGAGCGAGAGAGAGAGAGAGCGAGGTGGAGGGGTGGGGGGGAAGGGGGGCTTTGCTGCAGCTCGCGCTGACTGGCGCGCTGGCGAAGAACGCGGCCAGCCTGGCCGGGGGATCAGCACGACGCTCTGCACCGGCTTTCTGTGACACCAATCACTTTAGAGCCATGACTACCATATTATGTTGCGCCCACACTGCCAACCAGAAATTCAAAATCCGATCGGTGAAGAATTCTCCGGCCGGACCCTCCGGCGCGAGCGGCGTGCGTGTGTGCGCAAGGGCCCAGCGAGGAGACCGGCCTTTGTTGGGTCGCTTCGGGCGGCTGCAGGGCGCGAGTTAGCCATGATTAGTGCATAGCCGTGGACTGGTGTGCGTGCGTGCGTGCGTGCATCGGCGCAGGCGCGGCAGGGGGGTGCCAGTCGCGCGCGCATGCGCGCAAGCATCTACGTCAATGCCAGGCGCCGTCTTCAGGCGCGGTTCTCCCCTCCCGACCCGCCCGGGCTCGGGGCACAGAGGGGGTGCGTCCTCGGGGCCGTCGAAGGGTGTGTTTGCCCCGCGCCCTGGGTTATGCTTTTCCCGGCCTGAGCTCCATTCCCTCCGGCGGGGAGAGTGTATATTTATACGTGTGTGTCTGTGTGTGTGTGTGTGTGCACTAGGTGGTCGTCCTTTGGGGGGAGTACATCGGTCCCGGACAATGCAGCCCTGTGACGCCCACGACCCGTCGTCCCCCCGGGGGGGGGTCCCTCTTGCTGATGAGGCGCTCATTGTCCTCGGCCAAGGAGGGGGGTGGTCTGAGGTGCCTTCTCCACGGCCGCCCCCCCCCCCCGCCCCGCCCCGCCCCAGCCTGGTGGACTGCCGCTGAGGCGGCGGCCCCCCGCAAGGGTCTGTGCCAGTTCTTCAGCCTCCAACGGCCAGCCCGACGCCCGCAGACAGGGGGGGTCGTCAATGGAGCGGGGATGTGTTTTCCCGGGGAGGGCGGTCAGGCAGGCGCGTCGGCTCCCCCTAGCCTCCTCGGTCGACACGCTAGCCGGGCCGGGGGATGATGCTCTCCTTGGCGCGGACAACAACAAACGTTGTGGCGCGGACATGTGGTGGCCGGGGAATGGAAAATAAATCGCACCCTTCCGGCTGGGAATGACCAGACGCTGGTGTCGCCCCTCAGCTACACCAGGGCCGGGAGGCAGGTGCTCTGTGGCCCCCGCACGCGCCCGCTCTGGGATCTCTGTCGCGGGCCCCCGGGGGAGAGAGGGCGAGAGACAGAGCGACCGGGGGGGGGGGGGGGGGGGCCAGAGATCCGCCTGGCCCTGTCTGTGCTTTTGGGCTCTCTCCGGACGCCCGGGTGCCGGTATTCGCCCTTCCACGCTGGCTGGCCCTTGTCAAGACACGGACCCGGGCGCATGACGCGGGCCCGTGAACAGTCGAATCCACGTGCCCCAATAACGCCATTCCACCACATTACACTCAAACCCCCTCGCAGCCCCAAGCAGCGCCTGGAATTCGCGTGGGCCCTACACGCAGGCTCGCCCGTGCACGCTTTTGCAAGAGCCGCCCCGCGGCCCGCGGGCGGGGAATGCCCCGGCCCTGGGGGGCGCGACTCGGAGGGTTGCCCGGCCTACATGCCTGAAAGCCGGGCCGTTTTTTTTTTTCAGTGTCCCTGGGCCGAGCGTCTCCATTTGGCCAGCCGGGGGGGGCGGGGGCGGGGACTAGACCGAAGTAGAGGCGGTTCCTGTCCTGCCTGAACGACTGGCCCCGCTGCTCGTCCGTCGGTTCCCCGGCCCCTCTGCACTCCCCCCGGGGGGCGGCGGGGGGGGGGGGGGGGGGGAGGGGGAGAGGGCCTTGGCTTTGTACTAATGTGGGGCGCTGCGGTCAGGACTGGGGTGTGAATTCACTCCTTGCCAGGCAGAGCGAGAAGGCAGTCGGGGGAGGGGGGTGGGGGGATACTATCGAGGCTGGGAGAGACGGCGTGTGGCGGGGGGGGGGGGAGGGGGGGCGCATTCTGGCAGCGGGGATGCTTTTTTCCATGGGCACCGGAGAAGCTGATAGCTGTGAATCGGAACATACTCCCGGATGAGTGCCCGCTGGAAGGGGGGGCCGCGATGTGTGTGTGTGTGTGTGTGTGTGTGTGTGTGTGTGATAGCCGGCGGGGGCTTGGAGTGGCGGAGTAGCCAGGTTGGGGCCCTCTCTCCCCTGACCAAGAGCAACACGCACACCCACAAACATACACGCACCCGAGGCCGGCGCGCCGCGCCCGCGCCATTCCCTCCACGGGGTGCCCCCCTTTGGGCCGGGCAAATGGGCCAGGAGGAAGGATGAGCTTGCAAGTGGGTGGACCCAAACACCGAGGGAGAGGGGGCGGGGCTGGGGGCAGGACCGGCCGTGGCCCAGCGCAAAGGCCCAAGGGGGAGCGCCGAGAGGCCGCGGCGGGTTATTAACTGTTCCTCACGACTGGCCGTCACACCGTGTCTGTGTGGGCCCGGGCGCATCCGGGGGCAGTCCAGCGTGCATGCCGGGGGGGGGGGGGGGGGGGGGGGGGGGGGGGGGGGGGGGGGGGGGGGGGGGGGGGGGAGGCGGAGCGGGAGCTGGGCACACTCGTGAGCGCACCCCCGCGTGCATGGGTCTAGCGTGGACGACAGCCCCGAGTGCATGACATTCTCCCTCTCAGCCGGAGTCGCGTTTGCGTATCAAAGTGGCGTGTACATCTGTGTGTTTGTGTGCGTGTGTGTGCGCGCCCATGTCTGTCGAAGCACCTTCATGTGTGGCTCGGGGAGCGCCGCTGGCTCGCGCGTCTCTCCCGCTCGGATGAGGTTTAGGACCTGACCGGCATGCGAGCGGCGTCATTTTCCGATCCGAAGCGCGGATGGCAGAGCAGCCACACAGCAGGGCGGCGGGAGGCGCGATTATGGGGAGTAAGGTGTGCCTCCCACGACAGATTTCTCCTTGCACCTGGTCGTGAGTCTCGCTCC